AATATCAGCGGGTAGTATACCAAACTTAAATTAATATAGTTATTCTTTTCTATTACAGACTTAATTTTTTTCATATTGATGACTATGATTTTAATGTTGTTCCTATACAAATTAACACAATTCCTGACAAAAAAAATATAGTATCCATCGATAAAATATGTTTTAAACAAATCTTAAAATAATCAGAATTTTCGTTCATTTCTTTTATCTATTATTTTCTAATAAACTTTGAGGAATAAAACGATAAGCGAAATAATTTATATTTATTCATTGGCAAATTTTTTTCGTTAGTTGTTGGCTGTCTTCTTATTCGACTTGACTCATTTATTACGTCATACACACACAATATTAGAGAGGCAGACGAACGCTGTTTGGCTCAACTCGGCGAAAATCGCAAAAAAATAACAGCCAAAACAATCTACTTTAACAACAAATATACAGCTTAAAAGAAAATTATAATTTTTGTTTGCAATTTATTTTTGTTCAAATCAATACGGAGGTTACAAAGTAGAAATAGAAAATAAATTTGGAGGCACGTCGCTTATTTGTAAATAAAGAAAAAATATAAAATTCTACACATTTATAGGCAGAACGCCAATATTTATAATATAAAAAAGGAAGTTTGAATCAAATGAGACTGAAAAAAATACAAAAACATAAAAAACACACACGCCGTTAAGCGGAATTGAAATGACAGTAGTGGTATGAATGTAAATATGTATGTACATAATAGTAGTAATAATATAAATTTGAAAGGAAGTAGTACGTAATTAAGAAACAAAGACAACAAACTAACAATTGACTAAGCAAAAATTACTGTTCATTTGCATTACAAACATTTCAAAAAGAATAGAAATAAACATTATCATGATGTTTGTGTGCATTCATTTTTAACAAGATTTATATTTCATAAATAGCACAGAAATAATAAGTAACAGTGACACAGAAAAAGAACCAATGCCTATAACAAACTCCATTTAAAAAGATGTAGGATGAGAATTACGTAGTATATACATTAGTGATATAACTTTTACGAAGACCTTTTATAATTTTGTACGAAGATGAAAAAATAATAAGTATACAAATGTAAATACCTACATATAGGTACATAGATAATACATTTGATTTATTTAAGTTTCAATGGCCATCGTAGGTATATGGACCAATTTTGTTTATGCCCTAATGTACATACAAACAGTTTTAGTAGTAAATGACATAGGATGGTTATGACGACAGTTGTTTGTGGGGGTGTGCGACTGACAGTATGGGATGTTTTTTTTATGTGTACAAAATTGTGTAAGATACAATGCAAGTGCTGTAAGAAGTATAAGGAAAAAAGATACAGACAAAAAATAGAGACTGTGGAAAAATTTAAAGTCCATTTAAGCAGCAAACAAATTGTGTTAAAGATCAAAGAGACAATAAACAGGGTGAGGTATAAAGAAGGTGAATCATAAATGTGATCCTCCTATAGTATAGTTACATATTTTATTTTAAAAGTTAATTAAATGATTGTGTTAATAATGGAAGTTATTACGATTGAATGTTGATTTTTTACGTGTACAATATGATAAAACACATTAAATAATTTTTTTAATGTAACGCCCTAGTATGGGGTACGATTACAATGTAAATAAAACATCTGTATTTACCTGGCTTTTTGTTTTCTTTTTTATTAAATAGTGTAATATATAAAAATCTATTGGTATATAGATTTTTTGTTGCTGTTGTTAGCTTTAGAAAATTTATCAGAGGTCGTTGTGTGGTTGGTGCTTCTATTTTCAACACCGACTTTTCTACAGAGAATTTGTTTCAAGGTTCTTTTCGCAAAAATAAAATACAACTTTCCACAAATTTTTCTAAAAAGTCTGTTTTATATTTATATTTTTATGAACAAAAATATGTATTTTTCACTTTTATTATAGGTATTCGTTGAAAAATCAATATTTGTTTTGGTTGTTCCTCACTTTTTTAACAAAAGCACGTAATTCTTGCAACTTCTTCCACGTATTGTGATATTTAAAGATTGTTTGAGCTTTTTTCGTTGTTCAATTTTATTAAGTTACTAGTTTTCTTGTTTAATTAATAAAAAATTCACAAAAGAAATTTCTTTATTTGCTTCTTTCTTTTTTCTCTATTTTAGGCAATGCCAAAAACAAACCGTATACTTCTATGTCAAATTGAAAACTAATTGGAATTTTAGTAAAAAATTTCCTTCAAATCTGTAAAAAATTCAATAAAAATTTCTGACAGCTGACATCCAAAGTTGCAATATTGTGTATCAAAAATACAAACCTGTGCACATGGCTGCAATTATTAACATGTTTGATTTGTAAATTAAAATGTCACCAGATGGCAACACTAGTTATATTGTGCGAGAACTGCTTTAGCAATAGTATGTCGGTAATATAGTTAACATCATGTAAACTGCATTACCTGAATTACACGAATTGAATTTAATTTAAATTTGTTTACGGTTTTTTTTTACGAAAATAGGAATTTTTTGTGGATAAAAGTGTAGGAAAAGCAATTTATACCCTTATTCTATAATTTTTCGTTCGTTTCTGTAAATGTACAGAAACAAAAACGTTAACATGGATATTTTGTATTCTATAATAATAACAGTTTTAAAATTGGTTTGTGAATTTGATAATCAATTCAAATTTACCAGATGCACAATTTTTTAAAGTTTAGGACAATTTTAAAAATAATTTGTTCGAAATTTGAAAAAAAGTTTGATGTGGTAATATATTTTCAATTTTATTTCATACGGTAACAAAAATTGTCAAAATTATTACAATTATTTTGTTATTTTTTTACCTATTCGGGAAAAAACGTTATAATTTTTTTTTGATATCGTTTATTTTCGCGAATATTATTACCCCAAATGTTTACATGGATGTTAAAGATATTCGTGCAATGGTTGAGCCCTCAAAATTCTGTTCTTCCATGTTTATATGGATGCTATAATTGTCCATACAAAATTTGATGACTTTTGCTGTTGAAATTTCTGAGATGCGCGACCTTTACTATTTATTTCGAATGTGGGCGTAGCGTTCTGCCTTCTTGAAATTTCGAAATAAAAATAATTCCTTTTAGACATACAGGAAGACATTGTGAAAATATCATGAAAATCGATCCAGCCGTTTATTAGTTAAAAAGTTATAAACGGCCATAAAAGTTACCAAAGTCATCTTTTTTACACATTTTTACACCGTAAACGTACACCCATCTACTTTTTTTAGAAGTCGATGGCAGTTCATCTGCTTTTCTTGTATATCTAATGCGTGAACTAGAAAACCTGTTTAACCCGTTTTTTGCCTTTTTTACCCCTTAATGTTCTAATTTGCAAAAATCGCTGTTTTCTGCAATTTAAAGAAACTATCACTACAAAAACACCTATTGTTGAAATTGACATTTCATTTCGTTTCTAACAGAGCACTTTTATGTTAAAAAAAATAACATTTTACACAAAATGTTTATAGAATACAAATTCATGTTACGAACGGTAACAGAACGAACGTTTAAGTTATAGAATAAGGGTATTAGATTGTATAGGCGGGCATGGCCGACCATATGATATCATACACCAGTAATTATGTTAAAAATAAATATTTTAACAATTTGTTGTCAAAAAAGTGATTTTCTGAAAGAGGGGTTGGGTCATATGGGGGCAGAGGTAAATATGGTCATATCCGTATAAATTTTGGTAGAGCGATTTACGATGACATTAAAGTCATTAATGCAGAATTTCAATAGTACATCGGCACAAGCGTTTAAAAGAGAATTTTCACCTTCAAGTCATTTTCTGAAGGGTACTTTGTATGGGGGTTAGAGTCAAATGGGGCCTGATCATTACGAAAATTGGCAGTAGCATTTAAATTTATATAAAACTAGGCTAGAGATTCTACACACTTGTAGAGATTCCATAAACATTTGCAATAATTATAAGCTCAAAAGAATTCAACCATTTGCAATAGGCTTCTTCCTCGGGTAAAAAGGATGTGCAAATTTCATCAAATTTTCTATGTGATTTTGAGCCTGTGGAAGTAGGACCTATAATTTTTTATGTTACAAACATCAGCACAAACGCATAATACCCTCGCCAGTGTAGGGTATAATGATGAAAACTAAAATCGCTTATATCTTCATAAATATTGCGTTTTTGATGAAATGTTCAGAAATCGATTTTTTGTATGGAAAGGGTTCCAAGTCTAAAATCACCTATAACTTCGTAAATGGCGCGTTTTTGAAGAAAATAAGCTTTATCCGTGATCACTTAAAAATTGTCAAAAATCGGTTTTTTATATGCAAAGCTTAGGTTTATAACTTCGTAAATGGTGCGTTTTTGAAAAAATAAGCTTTATCCGTGATCACTTCAAAAATCGATTTATTGTATGGAAAAGTTTCCAAGTCTAAAATAACACTTAACTCCGTGAGTACTGCGTTTTTGAAGAAAATAAGATTTATTCGTGATCACTTAAAAAAATTATAAAATTTGGGTTTTTGTATGAAAAATGTTTCAAAACTAATTTAACTTTAAAAATAAGCTTCATCCCTGATCACTTAAAAAATTTTTAAAAATCGATTATTTTATGAAAAACGTTGCAAGTCTAAAATCATTTATTACTTCTTAAACACTGCGTTTTTGTAGAAAATAAGCTTGATCACCTCAAAATTTTCAAAAATCGATTTTCGACTTGGAACATTTTCCATACAATATTATCACTTCGAAAATCTGCCAAACTGAAATCGCTTAAAGGCTCATAAAAATTGTAAAAATGGGTGTGGGTATTTTATAATCAATTCAAGACTTATGTAACCTAAATAATTATAACCTAAATTAAGTCTGAATTTTAGTATTATTAATTTTCCATATGTTTATTTCAAATTAGTTCAAGATCTTCGTTCTTTAACTAGACACAAAACGATGTTAGTTTTAACAAAAAACATAATTTCTCCATTGAATTTTCAATTTAATTATATTTACATACCCTTCTCCTCCTTCTGGCAGATATCCAGGATTTTCAAAACCATCACTAGCATTCAATGGTGTTATAACTGCAGAAAATGTTGAAAATGGTGTTGTTGTGTGTTCAGTTCCAAGATTTGCTTGTTGTTCACTAAAAATAAGTTCGTTCGTTACACAAGCTAAATCCAACGTCAATTTTTCACGTTTATCAATGATTTCGGACATCATTTTTCACGTTTATTTTTGTAAAAATTCTTATTAAATACTTCTTGTTCATTTATTTATTAAATTATTTAGTTTTTAATTTGTGCTAAATATAACGCAATCAATAAATATATATATGCAATTCTACTTTTCTCCGCTGTATAGTAAACTGGGGATTTTTTTAATTGTTTTTCAAACTATTAAAATAATGACCAGAATAACGTTTAATTTCTTTATGGTTTTTCGATGTGAACTCGTCTAAAATCACGTCGCGAATGATTTCAAAACTTTATTACTAAAAACAACACCAATGTGAATACGGCCAACGATTGTTTTTAACCACAATTCTACAAAATGCACAGCATTCAGTAGATTTAACTTATTATTGAATACCGTGCAAAAAGTAAAAATAAACAAATAAAAATAAAAATGAGGCTCATAATAAAAACTTTTTTTATTTCTCTGTCTGTCTTTTAAAAAAAATTAAATTAAATAAAAAACACTTTCAATTAAACAAAAAATCACCAAAACATTAAAAAATCCAACCATTACATTGTCTATAACTGATGATGTGTAACGAGCGATGATCATCAGTAACATGTATTTGAGGGTTTGGATACAATAATTTGAATGTGTCAATGTCACCCGCAATAATAGAAAATCAAACGAATATTATAACACACACGAAAATCCATCGCCAATTTAAGGGGCGTCTGTCTATACATATTTCCCATTCCACTTATTTTAGCGTCATAAAGTCTATTCAACTTTTAAGTGCTTGATGGATGATTTAATTGCAAATTAATTTAATTTTATCATTTTATTTCTTTTTACTCTTTTGTAAATTTATGTTTAAAAACAATTTGTATTAGTGGACACAACCGATACTTGTGGACTTATAGACAGATAGTTAGATATTGATTGTTTTGAGATTTACTAGCATTTAATTAATATGGAAACAATCCAACAAATTAACTAACTCTCTTCTATAATAAATATCAACGTATTTACATTATTATTTTATTTATACACAATTGTAATACATACAAGTCAATACATATAGTGGTGGACAATAATATAGAATCAGTAATCATTGATCTTATGAAATCTTAAGTCATATCAGTCAAATTTTATAGAAATTGTCAAGTTTTGATAGTAACTTAAGTAGTTTGAGTTTTGCAATTATTGTATGTATTTTACTGATCATCACTGCGTACATGAAGATGTGGATTCATTGATGGGACTTTTTCATTTTCTTAATAATTCGACTAAAAAGTAATTACACTTGTGAAAACAGAACTGTAAACTTTGGCAAACAACAACGAATACAAAGAAAACAATTTCGCATTAATTTCAAAAAAGTCCTAAATACGGTTGAAAGTCAATTAGAAAGAAAACAAGTAATATATTGTTTATACCGGGTAGATTATGCCCGCCTAGCATAATCTATCTTTAAATACAGTTGAAAAAATTATATAAAATTTCTTACTCATTCCAGTTTATTATAAATCGCTAAATTTTTATTAAAAAAATTGCTACACTCACTCACTAAACTAACTTATCACAGTAAACCATAGACGCAAACAAATAATCAATACAAAACTATCAATTACTGAAGAACAATGTTATAAAGAATGCAATGAAATTGAAGAAGAATAATAATATTCTTCTAACAGCAAAAAAAGATAAAAATTAATTAATTCAAATTACGCATGTTAATAATTTATAACATTTCTAATAACTTTATCCAAATCTATACAAAATGAGTTTAACTGGTCCGATATTCAGTTAAAAAATTTAAACTGTATTAATAAACTAACATAACTTAAATAAATGCTTTTAAAAATGAAATTCGTTATAGGCATAGACGGCTGTACTTTTAGTAAATATACAACTAAATTAAGATTTGCTATTTGTGTATAAATGTGGTTTTATCGTTGCTTGGACAACGAGAAGAAAATAAAAAAAATATATAAATAAATAGACATTTTTAAGTACAACAATATATGGAAATTGTAAAAAACATGAGCATGACACAATAAAGTTGTCTCCAATTTTAACAGTTTTAAAAATCAACAACACTCAAAATTTTGCCTAAAGCGGAGATGGAAATTTAAATTATATATTTTAATGTGTTTCTACTTTTGTGTCGAAAAATAAATATTAAAGAATGAAATTAATTTCACTGATATAATTTCGAAAAGTTTCACTTAATTGGAGATACTTACAACGAAGAAATAGCTATCTGAACTCCTTTGGACAATTTTTGCTAGAACCCATAGCTGAAAATTTGTTTCTGGCCTACTATCAATGTTCTAACCTTGGTGCAAATTACTTGACATGACATTGCCCATATGTATGTATTACGAATTTTTACATAGGTATTTGGTAATTTGTTGTACTGTTATGATTTTCTAAAAAAAAAAAAAAAAAACATTTTTCCAAATGATATAAAGATTATCATAATTAACATGAAGATGAAATTTGTTAGCATCCACACAGAATTTTTGAAAAATAAATGTCAGTTACATGGTTTCAACCTATCTTCATCAAAATGCATTTTTAAAAATTCTTTGGAAAATAATATCTTAAATCTTAATTTTACGGTCACGAGATGATATATGCAAATTGTAAATACATCATTTAAATGCGCATATACTTAAAACAGTTGCTTAAAAAATTATTCGAACAAACAAAAACACAGTTTATCAATAAAAAAAATAAAAGACAATGAAACAATTTGGTGAAAAAAAATTTGAAAAAATTAAAACTCATTTCTAATATTATCCCGATTTTCGGAAGAGAACCTTGTATGGGTGATATGATCAATTATGGTCCGATAAGCAGATTAACTGAATAATTTGTATATGCACAGAACACAATGAATTTTGTTCCAATATGATTATTAGTTGATGAATTATATTAATTTTATTGATTTTCGGAGATCGGAGGTTTAACCCAAAAGGGGTAATATGATTTCTATTGATGTTGGATGTATCTATATTCCCATATATCTATATTCCAGAGGGAATTATTTACAATTAATGAATTTTCCAGTAATGTGTACATTTCTATGGGGGCTATATGAAATTTTGAACCGATACTAATAATTTTCAACTGATGAAAAAAATATCTGTGACAAAATTTGTTAAATTAGCTATCATAGTTTCTGAAGAGGTAACCGAGAATGAGAAATAACTTAATATTTCCATAGGTTTTTTCGGAATTATTTATAGACCGATTTTTCTGATTTTAAATAGGAAACTTCTAGAACACATATTTGGTAGAGTTATTGAAGATTTGGATCCAGCAGTAGGCTTTCCAGAATATAGTCTGAAAATTATATCATATTATGATGAAGAAGTAAATATAAATATAGTAATATTGTTACTAAAGGCTTAACCAAAACGGATCACTTTTAAATATAAAAAATGAAATAAAAAGATTCTAATTTTATATTTGAATTTCTGATATAAAAATATCAACAACTTGTCTATAAAAGTTATATGTATTATCAATAATAGAGGGTGTTGGCAAAAATATGCATATTTAATATTTAATTGGTTAAAACATCAGTCAAATACGCATGTCCAAAAAGGTGGAGTTATCCTTGCTTGGCAACAATGTTGATAAACATTTTTATAAGCAACAAAAGCTTTTTCCGTTATTGAAATTAGAATTCAAGCAAATTTGTATAATCAGTAACATTTTAAAGCTCCAAAGAAAAGGTTGTGTCTGCTTAACGTATAATATAAAGAACCAAGTTTTTTTTTTATAAATTTACTAAATATTTATAAATAATATTTATACTCAAAGGTACATATTATAATTAATTGTAATTTCCTAAACAGACGAAATACGAACAAATTCATTTAAATAATTAAATTAAAAAAAATTGAGTTATAAATCTGAATAAAATAAATAAAAATTAAAATCTTAAGAAATAACGGAATTTAATGCTGAGATCAAATTTTTTAATATAAACAGAATCTGCATATTTTTATAAGCGAGCCGATAAATTTCTTCTTGTGTAGCTGACAACTTATAAAGCTTTAGATTGGAACTTTAAGATACTGAAAGCAATCTGGAACATTTCAATAGTTCGATATCGCAGACCAATTCAATAGCTGTCCTTTTACAAGAGAATACTCTTATTTATGTCTCAAAATTATCAACTGATCACTTCTTATGTTTAATATTAATCACAGATTAATTGTCAAAACTTAACTAATATTTTACTCAAAAATTTTAAAAAAATATCCAAATGTCGATACCCACTACTCCAAATGTTAGCAGCACTAGTTTATAGTTGTTTATTTTCATCTAAACGGGTAAAAAATTGTACAATGGGAATTTATTTTTCTTTTGAATTGATTACGTGGACATGAGTTTTGTTTTTTACACAATACTAAAAGTGGCAGCGGTTGGCGTCGCAGTCACTGCTGCTGTTAACGCTGCATGCTCTTCTGATTTGTAGATTTGAAAAGTCGATGATCGTGGTATTTTTATGTGACTCTTCTTAAAAATTTCTCAGTTTAAGTTAGAGCGTTGGCACATACGGTTCGTTAATTTTCTGTTTTTTCGTTCAGTGCAATATATATTTTTAAAATTTGTTACATTCCTTAGAAAAAAATTAACTAAAAAGGTAATTATTATTATTAAAACAAATGAAAAATATAAATGAAATCTGTGAATGTTTTTTTATCAATTAACACTACTAAACTTAAAAAAAAAAACATTTTGTGAATACGAATATACTGGATACGAGCGCTTGTATGAATAATACAAATAAAATATTTTAAGCCGCATTTATAAAATAAACGACTAAAAAATACTCATGTTTATTTGCGTACTATAAAAATGAATATGTTTGTTTGTATGTACATATTCTCACTAACGAATATAATTTGGTCTCATAAATTTTACCCTTTTATACAGACGTCATAAGAATATACAAACACGAAAAAAATTTTATCAAGAATCAAATTAGAAACAAGAGAAATACCCACAGATCGTATAAAATAAATAAAAAGAGAGTGAGTAAGAATACAAAGAATCGGAAATTAGGTTATTACTCTTTGTAGACACAAAGAATATATACATAAGTTCAAATAAAAACTACTAAATCGGTCAACGAAGAAAGTACAAAAAAGAACAAACATTTCTGTATGTATGTACATCATTATGTATAGTTTTCTGTGATCTTTTTTTTCCAGCTATAACAACTAGAGAACTAATACTGTTCATAAACTCGTATTTTCTTACCCAGAGCTTTCTTCAAAATTTATTTATTTTACAATTAGTTTTGTTATTTTCTATTTAACCAAAACTTATATTTACGCACGTATCGGGTTAACGACCTTTAAATAGTAAGTAACGCCACGGCTGGACATTTAAGCATGTTTAGTATTGATAACCGTTCTAAAATCATAATTTTTAAACTCTCTCAAAACCAAAATATATGCAAACAAACATTAACCGAAATGACTAAAAAATAATGATCGTGATTTATTAATTTCCATTGAAAGTATGTATTATATGTGAGTGTTTTAAGTGGTTTTCAACCGGCAACTCTCAAAGCTTTGTTTAATTTTTAATTAATTTTTTCATGTCTGCTGTAGTAACATTGATATTTTTCCAAAGTCGAAACTAAATTATTTATACATACAGTATTGTTCAATACCACAATAAGCTGGTTTTATGTATAAGCCAATTAGAAAAAGTCACTGATGGGGTATTCAGTATGATAATGGCTAAAATACTCGCCAAATACTGGAATGATTTCAATTTTATAGTTAATAATCCTATCGATTTTAGCTTATACAAATTCCGATTAATTTTATTTTTCACAAAAAAATCTTTATTTAAAATTTACTTTGTTTTGCTTAATAAAGCAAAAAACAAGATTGAAGTGAAGGTTTTGTTTAAAAAATCGTTTATTAGGGTTCATATTTTTAATTGCATTCCAAAATTTCCAAACTTAAATAACTCAAAGAACCTGCTTAGCGTTTTAATAAGATAGTTCGAAAATCACAGTTTTGAAAATGGGCTTTAAATCAGAGTTTGAAAATTTACAACTTGACAGAAAACAATTGAAATTATGTTAGAATTAAACTTATTTTATTATTATAATAGTGCAAGGTTGCCAACCGTTATTACTAAGCTATCATTACCGCTAAAATACCTTTTCAGTACTACCACTGTTACCGCTAAAATACCAATACCGAGATAAGCCAAAATAACGATTACCCTAAGACAGCAAAATACCGATATATATTATTCCAAAATGGAAATAAATGTTCATACTACCGTTACCGCTAAAATACCGTTACTGGCCAAATAACGTCAAAATAACGATAACGCTAAAATACGAATAAAATATCGATAACACCAAGATACCGTTAGCGAAATAAGCCAAAATACCGTTATCGAAATAAGTTTCGAAACGGTTCCTAACCTTGTAATAAATTAGTTGAAATAGAACATTTAGTCAGAAAAAGTCTCACTATTTATGCTCAATTGGCCTCCAAAAAGTTTAGTAGTTATGTGTGCCTACGATAGGTAAGTAGTTAGTTTCTACAGTGTCCAACCGGAGGTCGTGGGTTCAATTCCCACCAGGGACACTGGTAATAGATTTGGTGTAACAAACTATCTGTTATATTATTTAATCCAAAGTAATTTTAGCAAAAAAAGTTTCCACAGTTCTCATACCACTAAGTAATCACAACGCTCTTAAAGGCAATGTTCTAAGCTTTCTTTTGAGCAAAAAAAAAAAAAAAAAAAAAAAAATACAACAAAATTTTGAAAAAATAGGGGAAAATTGAAAAAAATGTATTCTTAAGTTAAAAAATATTTTTTGATAGATATCCCACTCGCATTCCATTATCGGACTATAAAGCATTTCAAGGAAATTGTATATTGTAGCTTTCATTTAAGCAAAAAAAAAGGGCCCATTAAAAAAATTGGAAAGAATGAAGAAATAGCCATCTGAACTCCTTTGGACAATCTATCTATATGAACTCCTATGACCAATAGGTGGAAAGTTACACTCATTTGAATAAAAACCTGTATGACCAAAATGTTCAACTTTGACCCCCTCTAAGTCCGGCAGTTCTTAAACGATAGAGCTGAAAATTTGTGTCTGACCTACTATCCAATAGTACTAACCTTAGTGCAAATTTAACCAAAATCGATTTTTTGAGTTGAGTCACTTGACACAAAATTGCCCATATATAAAACGTTTCTAAAAATATCTTTTTCGCGAAGATTGTTATAATTTCATATTTGAACAATGAATGTTTAATGTCTACGAACTGGATGGAAAATTAAATTTTAAAATTATATTATATCAGAAAGAAAATACAGTCAAACTTTCTTATAACGAACTCGGTTATAACGAATTCTCGATTATTACGAACAATTTTTCAAGTCCCAATATTTTGGTAACCATTTTCATACAAAAAACTTCTCTTATAACGAATTTGGTTATTAAGAATCCACGTATAAAAGGAACTACTTTTTCTGTCCCTCAAGTACAATTTTCCTTTTTTATAACGAACTTCAAAATTATGTGTTGAAATCATAAGAATATATTTAGCTTTGTTGAAAAAAAAACTTAAATTTATTATGAAATATATCAACAAATAACATCGAATGGTGTTTTTTATAAAGAATATTAAATGAATGTATAAATCATATTCTTTAAATTTCGTAAAATGCCACTATATTTTTGGAACTACAAAACGAATTTCGCTTATAACGAACAAATTTGACTGGTCCCCCGGAGTTCGTTATAAACGAGTTAGACTGTACTAACTTCTTTCAAGCATTGCAAAAAATTTTGGCTTAATTGCTTAACAATTAATTTGCAATTTGCGATATCTTTCAGTGAGAAAGTTTAATTAAAAATGTACCAATAAGTTGTTAGTGTACCATTGAAGTTCGAATTGTATCAAAAAAAGTATAATTCGAACCAACATTTTCAGTTGAATTTCACGAAGTATACAAAAGTATGTTCGTTTGGACTCCATTATTAAAAATTCTTTTCCAATATCTTAAGAGCACTTTTACTTCAATGTGGAATTTGGTAAAACTATGCTAAACTAAAAATGTTGTTGCTGAAATAGTTCCTTTGTCGCTAAGATTTTCTTTCCTATATATAATTCAGTTTGTTCTGAAGATCTTGATAATCCTTAAAATCTTTGTATACAATAGTGCATTCCATTATTTAAGGCACTTGAGATGACAGTAATGGTTTTTACAAGAAAATGAAGCGAATGTCTCGCCAATTTTACTTTGTACATCTATTAGTCTTTAATAAAAAATAACAATATTGAATTCAAATTTTAAATTGCAAAAAATAAAAAAATCTTTATGAACATTTTACCAAAAAGATGATGATAAGATTCACTAAATAGACTATATTTTTGGAACTAATTTATTAGTTTGTTTTTATTATAATGACATAATTTGTTTGTAGAAATACATACAACTTGACCTTAAAGACTTCGAAGTCGCCAAATCGATTGCAAATTAAAAAAAAAAAAAACAACAACAACAAAATACACCAATCAAAATAAGGGCAACCACTGACTATACAATTTTCTCCAATTCCAAATCTGTTTAAGTTTTTGTTTATTTTTGCTATATCAGCAAAAGTTTCATAACTTAATACCCATAAATCGTTCAGAGTGTTGTGTATTTTAATCAAGTTAATTAAATTACAAATTGTCATTGGAGAAAGGTGTGTGAGTATCGTGTAGTGGGTTGAACAGTGTTTTCACTTATGAAATCTTACTCTTAATTGGGTTTTAAGATGTTACACATTATTAATGGTGATGATGAGTAAACCACAAATCATAAGCGTATTGTAACATGTTGCAAAACAATAGATAAATATGTATGTTAAGATATAGACGTACATACATATATGGAAAGCGTAAAATATTTTACAATTTCTTATCTCTATTTTATTCATTTTGTTTTATTGTTTACTATTTCTACATTTAGATTTGTTAATTTCTTTTTCTTACTAAAAAAAGTAAGAAATGATCACGAAGTTTGCTAATAAAACCATTTTTGAAATTAATAAAGAAATAAATGAAATAGATTAAATCACTTTATTTAGGCAATATTTCAAACTGATTATCGAATTATTTAGATCTTTCTATAACCTAATTTGAGAAAGAGAAAACGTGCGTTCAAATTGTGCAAATATTTTAGGAAATAAACGTAAACTATTTTCAACATATGATTATTTTACTTTTTTGCTTAAACATTGCAATTTATAAAAGATATAACATACAATATAAAAAATTTTTAACAGTCTCATTGACTTTATTAAACCATAAGTTAAGCGTTGCTTTTCAAAGCCAAATAATTGTCATTATTACGATCTGTAAGAGTGTTTGTTGATCAAAATTACTTTCATTTTTATGATGATCATTCAATACAATTGATTTCTAACAATCATTTAATTAATTGTTTGATTTTCGCATTTATTTTTGCCACAATTTTCACTTTGTCGTCCCTCTCCTTTTTGCACTTTTGGCTGATTTATGGCAATCATGATGTATGTGTATTTTTGGTTTCTTTTTAATAAAATCACGTTTTAATGCGAAACCAAACTGTTTCATTTATTTGGTTTGGAAGATGGTAATGATGACCATCAGCCAAAAGAGAAGAAAAAAATAAATAAATAATTGCATAACAATTATAAAAACTTGGACAGACGGACAGTTAGTCGCAAACAATGCTATAAAAGAGTTGTTGTATGCTTGTTTAGTTTTTGTTATTATTATTTTTTTTTTTTTTTTGCATATTTTTTTGCGTTTTTCGTTCGTTTCGAGCTTGTGATGCGGATGCATTTAGGCCAGTCTGTCTGTGTATGTACATTTATATTTAGTATTGGTGGTAAGTTTGTTTCACTGCTGTAATCGAATGTGATAATAGTTGAAATTTCATGGTTATGATGCAACGTTTCATACGTACGATACAACGAAAACATCCGTGTAGTTCAAACCTCGTTTCAATTAAATTTTATCGAAGCCAAATACATGCTATTACTTAAAATAAAATACACATGTATTAAATATTTAACATACTAATATTTGAAACACCTACACAATTGTTTTATTCAAAACGTATTATTTTATTTATCTATTTTTTAGTCATGTTCAAATCCGTGCTTATTGTGTCGTGCCTTTTAGTGGCTGGCGTACGCAGTCAGGATCTTAAAGTTGATGTCGTCAGTGTACCAGAAGTTTGTGATCAAAAATCTAAAGCTGGTGATACAGTAAGTGTTGTCAACAATAATATTTTATTTTACTAAATTATAACAAATATTGGACAATTGTTTACAAATATTTATTTAATGTTTTTTAGCTTACCATGCACTATACTGGTACTTTAACTGATGGCAAAAAATTCGATTCTAGGTAAGTGTTTATTTCTGTTTCCCCATTTTACATACATTGAGTTCCTTCGTAATTTATGACCCATGATTTTGTCGCGTAAAAACAAACGAAACAAAAATAGCTCTCTACTCATATTGTTCTGCATTAATACTTCGTCGTAAATTAACTGCAAAAATGCTGATAAAAATCTCAATTTTATGCAGCTTTTGTTGGTCAAAATAACCTTTCATTCATTCATTGATGTGCTAGCCTTTACATAATTTTGTAACGATGCGACAGTTTTAAAATCATTGTGGTTTAAGTTTAAAAATTTAAATTTTTCCCCAAAAAATCAGTAAATGAAAATATGCATAGATTTTAGTTTGAAAGTACAATTAAATATAGAAATATTGAAACTAAAGAAAATTTTTAAACTCAAGAAGTTCCACTTTCATTAACCCTTCTACATTCAAAGCAAACCAAAAGAAAAGAGGAGTAGAAGAAAATAATAATGAAAGCTTGTAATCGAATAACGTTTCTAATTTATGAAGATATAAATAAAATGTACAATGAATTCAACAGAGACATAAATTATAGTGAAGCTTAAGCGCGCCGAAAGACCATAATATGTGCCTATATGTATATAGTATGTAGATGTATATGCAAACTCGCCAAATATGTAGTATGTGGAAACCTGATAACCACCAGACCCAAAAATATACAAAATGTATAGAAAACCAATGATAACAAAAACTCAACAACACAAAAAAAACAACAATAATAAAACAGAAAAATAAAATTAAGTGAAGTAAAGTGAGTACGTAGTGATGTGAACCTCATGGAGGGTTGATTATAATATGAACTGCATACGTGTACTGCTCGTACTATAAATGTACAACAAATTAGTACCAAAATGAGCCCATACTTTAGTACCCTTATCAGTGATTTCTTCACATATGTACATATGTATATTTCCATGCTGGCTGGCATTTGTATACATGGATATTTTCAAATAAATGTATGTTTGTATATGTTCGGTTTCTGAATATAATAATTATATTTTGTTTTAATTTTTATATAGAATTGTTTGTTGATTATCCATATGCTTGAGCTTCAAACAAGATGAAATTCCTCTACAAGTTCTTTCTAATCAGTCATACAATTCATAAACTATGTATGTACTTATTATAATGGTTGTCAAACTATGAAGTACTACTCTCTACTCTATCTATCTAGTGTATTTGAACTCCATTAAAGGGTCTTAAATGTTATCTTACAATATTCAAATTGAATTTAGAACATAACTAAAAAAGGGAAATTACTTTATGATTTTATTATTAGTTTTTTCTTTAAATTTATGAAATCTTTTCAAATCTAGCACAAAAAACTATTAACAGTAAAGGGCAGAAGTTGTAATACATTCATTCATCTTTTTCTTATCTTAGTTTATGATACAATTTATTTAAAAGTAATAAAGGAATTATCGTGAAATTATCATTCGCCCAAAACAGTACTTAAGTTCTAAATTATTTTCCCTTAGGGTCAACAATAAAACCGAGCTTATTAGTTCATAATTTTTAATTATGAATGAATTAATTCAAAACTCTGACTAGTTCATATTTTTTAAATACATTCTTAAATACGACTATATATTTAAAATGCCAGCCTTGTACCAGACTGTAAGGAGTTTCTTTTTAAAGGACAATCACTTATTCAAATTCAAATTGTTTTTGGGATTTACCTAGTAACAAATGAAATTTTAGAAAAATTTTGCAATTTTAAGTGTCTAAAAGGCATACATAGGTTATTTAACTTTATTTTGTAATATGTTGTGTAAAAAAAAAAAACAATTACAACTTTTCCTTCCTATGCAACATTTTAGCTCTCATCCGTAAATTGTGATATTTTGTCATCAGTGTGCACCCACTGACGAAATATAAATCTTGATAATACCTATGAAAAGGTCTTATTGTTGCTGATGATGGCATAGAGAAAGTTTCGTTTTTTTTTCATGATAATTTGTGTTTAATTTAGCGTGATTTAAACTTGTTTACTTCCTCCCCCCTTTGTGTCAACTATTTCAATGAATTTATGAATGTTTAAGGTAAAAGATAAACTTTAATTCAGCCGACACTTGTTGCTTCAGATACGAGTATGTTGGAGTATGTGGCATGATTAAATAACTCTTAATATTAAATGTTTGTGTAACATCCTAAGCAAACTATTTAAATTGTGTTCCGACTCAAAAGGTCCTTGTCAAACTACAGGTGCTTTCAAAAGAAAAATGTTGATCAAGTTTAGTTATTTTTTTCTTCTACTTAATTTTATACCTTTAAGCCATTAAAAAATCGGAAGATATAAGAAAACAACAAAAAATGTTGTTTGTGGTCTTATCAAAGTGGCTTCTTTGCATTGAGCTAAAAGTCAACCAAGCAAATAAACTGCACTTTTTTCGCTTTTAAAGTTGGCTGCTGATTGTTGTTACTTTACGTTGTAGGTGAGTGAGTGATGTCTTTACCGGAAATTACCACAAACTACAACAAATAATTCATAAAACCTATTTATGTATGTTTGAATATTTGCTTGTTTGTATTTGCACTAAAGATTATGAAATTTCATAATGGAAATCTACAAGATGCTGACTTTGTTTCTTACTTTAAAAAAAAAAACAGCACTGAAAGAATACACGCACTATCTATGTTGTTGCTGTTTTTTCTTCATTTGACACATTTTATCCTTGGGCACCTACTCCTTTGTGTTGATGTGTTTATTAAATTTTTTACCATTTTAATAACGCTCGTAATACTAAACGAAATGCACTGAGCCATGTAATCCCTCATTTTACAAGCTATTTAATACAATCGCGTGTATGTATACGGTTTCTTAATTTAAAAAAAATTAGTAATAATTAATTTAGTATTTGATTAACATAATTTTTGCATATTATGTAAACAATTAATTTCACTATTAAACACTTTCAATCTCATTTCAAATTTGAATCCTCAGTTAGTTTAGCTGATGTTTGAGTACATAATCCATTTAGGTAATACAAAAACAGCTCGCCTGTAATACCCTTTTACATTATACCACAAGTAATATGATCTGTTTATAAAAAAAAAGAGAACGAATGGGATAGTCTAAACGCAATATGTAATAAACCCATCATAAAGCCATTCTCATGAGAGAGAATACGGATGGAAAATTTGACAGTCGTATAACTCTCTCCATTTTTTGAAATTATTAAAAAAAAGAAAGTTTCATTAGATCAATGGATCACTATATTGACTAGTTAATGGACTATTTATTTGCCTAGTCAGTGGACTAGTATATGGATTAGTATATGACCTAGTGTATAGACAAGTCAATGAACTAGTACTGAAAAATATAACAATAGTACTTAATTTTCCATCTAATAAGGCAAATCGTTCGATGGGGTTAATATGTAAAAATACTATTTTATTAAGATTAATCTCAAAACATATTGCAGCCGAAGATTTATAAAACTTCTGTTTTTTAAAAAACACTAAAATCTTAAAAAAGGATTCACTAAGTGTATTCGTATTTTATTATTATTAATTAACCCCTGAAAATGACATTTCTCTTCTTCAATTTTTATTTAAATATTTTCTTTGGCGAATGTTAATCAATTGATGGCACGTCTACGTCTAAAACATTCATTATGGGTTTTTGTCTTGCAACTCCGGTCGGTTTTTCAATTTCATGTTCTCATTGCTTTTACAATAAAATTGATTGGCCGTTAAAGGAATATCTCCGTTGCAGGTCTGTTTCAGGACAATAGTTGTCTTTGTACATTGTTTTTATGTAAACGTTCCACAAAATTATCAATTGGCTTGTTATTGACAAACGTGACTGATTAATTATAAAAAGGATTAAAAGCAATCATTTTCGTTGCCAAAAAAAGGGCAACAGAATATTAAACAAAAATGGGAAAATATATGTTTGTATGTATGTAAAAATAATTATGTTGATTTTTATTGCACCAGTCTAATTTGAAAAAATAATATAAACTTCAAATGTTCTCTAGAAACAAGTGGCTGGTATCATGATAGGTAGGTCGTTTCCATTTTTCATTTTCGCAAATGTTGCAGACACATTAAATTTAGCATCTTAACAATTCTAGGCTCCTTTTGTTGGTTTTTGTTCTTTACATCTTTCATTCACAAGAATATGATGTCTTCCAAAATAATAAAAAGGAGAAAACATGGCATTTATAGCTTCTTATACCCTAAACCATTAGAGACGGAATTACTAGCAATTTCATTGTATGTGAAACGGTTAGAGAAAGTTTGAACCCTACAGATCTTTTTAAGCGCACTTATTCTCATTTTTTAAAGCTATTAAAATGATTCCTTTTAAGCTTTAAATCTGTTTTAAAATAAATATTTTGTTTTTTAGACTATGATAAATTTATAAAATTGAAAGTGAGATTAATATAGGCTAAGGAGTTCAATATTCGGTGCTTACTTAATTTTTCTTTATATTTTTTTCTTTAATTTATAAAATACATACATGAATATAATCCTACACATTCCGAGACAATATACTATGTATGTGTAATCGCAAAATATTTTGAATAATTTAAAAGCTAAAAAAGCAATAACGCTAAAAAACGAAACGATTTTTTTCTTGTTTTAAATTTTGTACACGGTACGTGCAAATGGCAAACTTGAATATAAATGTTTCTTTAAAATACAAACGTTACTGTTTCTAAGAAGCTACAAGAAATTTATAAAGTTTGGATGCCACTCTGCCACGGTATAAAGTGTTAAAGTGATGAACAAACTGTCCAAGTTTTTATATTCAAGTAAAACGATTAATCCCTTAGGTGATGCGGCCATGACCTCATCGTAATCACAGTGTAGTAGAAAAAGTTTCAATTCAAACTTCATCCTAAAATGTACTTTACGAGGGTGAGAGAAAATATACTGTTTACTATTTTCTCTGAAAATGTTTAAATAATGGACTCATATGTTTTGGTAAAGGAAAAAACTAGAATTTTGATTTTCTTGCATAGATATTTT